GGCCAAGCCATTTAGTTACTTGCTAACAACTTTACTGAATATCTACTTTTGCTTATTCACATATTCGAAATTAGAAGCGTTGTGTCTGCTTAAAATAATCCAAATCTAGTATAAAGAGAAGACGCTGTTAATGGCCGGGCGGCCACATAGTTTCATATCTATTTTAGCAGCCAAAAAGTGGTTAAGAAGCATACGTTCTTAAAGAAACGAAAGATGAATTAAATTCATATCATCAAGATGAAATTATAGCCTATGGTTACCCAAGCCAAATCTTACATGGATTTACCTACGTTACTCGACTTAGCTTAGGTCAATCGGAGATAGTGCCTAAGATATATAATGTAGACCAGAAACATTACAAGAACGAGGCCTCACTTGTTCTTCTATTTGCCGGCCAGCAAAATCAAACCTAATGCGGACAGACTCAATTAGGGAAGCATGCCTTTGAGCTCGCAATTCCTGAACCCGCTGAGCCACTTGTTGTCTGACTTCTGGACTTAGCCAAGCAGCATCCCGACCACTCGCTTCTGAGGCGAAGTAATCCAATTCATCATCGATGACACGAGTACGCCGCGTCGAAGTGGCATCGAATTCTAACAGTTTATCCCGATTGGATAAAGCTGCAACGAGACCTATGAAATGCAAGACAATCAGAAACATAGATGTTAGTAAGTAAAGGATTGCTAATGTTACTTAAATATTGGGAATTAGGAATTAGCGACACTACTTATCATTTAAATATATGTTTCTAATTAGATGTAATACAGATTCTCTTTGTCAATAACAGCAAAGTAAAAATTTCAGAAAGGACGAGGAATATATGCATCGAAAATGAGAAAAACGTTTAAAGCGTAAAGGTTATTTTTAATTAAACTTTGCACTGTTATGAATCACAAAATAGCCATTTTCATGGTATAAAATTGGAAATACAGTTAAATTCAATCTAGAAATTGGTGTCTTAGTCAGATATTATCGTGGATTTGTTGAATAATATATATCGTCACACACATAAGGCTAAAAGATCTGTTCAAAGATGAAGTATA